GGGGGGAACAAAAACCCCATTCCTTCATGCGTTTCTCGTTCTGCGACGCAAAAAAACTATTCACTACGAGCATGGTGGCTAAGTCACATCAATCGAATTATGTCACATCATCCCAATGGTACGGCCTGAAAAGTTGGAAGTCACATCAGGGGCCCGAAAGTCACATCAGAAAATGGACTTCTGCATGGCACAGCCACTAACAGCTACTATGAGGAGTTTTGTATGAACAACAGCAAACATTGCGCACAACAGTAAATCCTGACACATTCTGACTTGTTCGAATGAAATTTGAAGGCAAATCACATTGGCACAGCCAGTATTGGACCTTTCCACATATTTTTTGGAAAAACGTAGCCCCTATTGGCACAAGCACAAGAAGATGCTCATGATTTTCCAAGGTAAGATCTAAAACCCAATGGCGCGCCAGCAGACAACCACTTATCTTACTATGTCAACAGCCAAACCTGGCAGCACAGCCACGCATTGTGAATTGCAGACCCTGCAGGCTTCGCCATAAACTTGGATTTTCTCTGTCTCTCTCTCTCTCTCTCTCTCTCTTGCTCTTTCCCCCGACAGGTCAGCCAGTCTAGGCGCTTCTTGCGGCTGCTAGTGATATCATCCAAGTCAGCCCTGAAATGGTGGGTCAAGGGTGCCTTCGGCACACGTTTCTTGAGTGATTCAATGTCAAAAGCTGCTATCATACTGAACTGGGGAATGGTGATTCCACACTTCACCAGGTTCCACACTTCACCAGATCACTGTGTGGAAATCCTTCCTCCAGAATCTCAACACAATGGCTGGCATTGTTCTTTTTCTGCGAGACAGCTCTACACCACAACAATGCCACGTTGTACTCCCCAAAAAAAGGGGGGTCGGCGGCACCTGGGCGTTAGCCAATTCTATATAATCCGGGCGCCGGCCACGCGCACGTTCCCTTGCCGGAGGCCTTCGGTTGGTAACCGAAGGTTATATACGCTCGCCGCCCCTGCCGCCGACCCTTTTGTTGGACCGCGGGGATACCCCGTGTCGACCCCGTGTCGACCCCGTGTCGACCTCCGCCCGAATCCGAGAGACAGATTTATATGTTATCTAGTTGGTTTTTGCGCACGATGTGGAAAACATCGTTTTTTACAGTGTTTCGTGGCCTTCAGCGGACACGACTTTCGTCTAACAGGGCGCCGGTGGTGTCGGTTACGCGCGCCGCGTGGACAAGCTTAATCGACATTTCGTGGGTGTTGGGCACATAAGTTGCCCCCAACATAGGCCCAAGATAGCCAACATATCCCCAACATATGCCCAACATAGCCTCCAAGATGGCTCAACATAGGGCCAACATAGGCCAACATGGGGCCAACATACGCCAACATAGGCCCAACCTAGGCCAACATAGCCTAACATAGGCCGACCTAGGCCCAACATAGGCTCAACTTGGGCCCAAGATGTGCCCAACATAGACCACATGGGCTCAACTTGGCGGCCAAGATGCGCACCAGATAGCTTAACTTTGCTCAATATAGGCCCCACCAAGTCTCAAAGAGAGAAAGAGAGAGAGAGAGAGAGACAGAGAGAGAGAGAGAGAGAGAGAGAGACAGAGAGAGAGAGAGAGAGACAGAGAGAGAGAGAGAGACAGAGAGAGAGAGACAGAGAGAGAGAAAGACAGAGAGAGAGACAGAGAGAGAGAGAGAGACAGAGAGAGAGAGAGAGAGACAGAGAGAGACAGAGAGAGAGAGAGAGAGACAGAGAGAGAGAGAGAGAGACAGAGAGAGACAGAGAGAGAGACAGAGAGAGACAGAGAGAGAGAGAGAGACAGAGAGACAGAGAGACAGAGAGACAGAGAGGCAGAGAGACAAAGAGAGAGAGAGAGGGGACCCAGCCCTGCACATACCCAAACCCAAATAGGCCGGCGCCCGGCTGTCAGGCGTAAGCCTCATAAATATATATAATTTCGATATGGATGCGTATGTTGATGCATCGTTATACATGACCACAAACCAGAGGACAGAAACTTAAGGAACACTGAACATATAGAAGTTTATCACAGGTATGTATGTTCAAGTCGAATTCGACACTGACTATGCTACCTTTGAAGAAGCCATGTGCTTGAAATACATTGAATGATGTTTTAATGGCAATGAACCCAGAATGAAGAAGATGACCAGAGATGAAACTGTGGAACTCATTGGTAGAACTACTGAAGCATTCAACAAATCTGGAGCATCAATTATATAATGATAGGAATCAGTTGTTCAAAGAATACAATGTATGGGTAACCTGATGTACTCTTATGAGCCAGCAGACTTTCACATCAATTACCGTATCCTCTAGGTACAGTATTATTTCAGAATTGAAAATCAGGTTCAAATTGAAAAAAGGTAAATCAAACATAAGGTGAAAACCCAACATCTAACAGACTCAATCAATACCATTAAAACAATTGAGGCACAGAAGACATCGAACAAAATGTCACAGGCAATGTTCATGTTCAACCAAAAGCTGCTAATCCTTTACAGCATTCCTATTATACACATTGAAGCAAATATTGAAGCCCTTGTCTAGTGTAGAACAACCCCACCGGTTGGGAAGTTCAATTTCTTTCTTATAACAGGGAGGTGCACTTGGAAATAGACAACAACAAGGCTTACACTTACTGTTTAGGGGAAACAATGAAAATACCAATCTTCAACGAGAGCCTACAATTATATATATATATATGTTATACAAAACACCACGTTCTTACTGAGGGTAATTGATGAAACTGCTTTGACAGTTTTTAAATAACACCCCCAATGAATTATGATATGTGTTCAAAAGAATTTGCTGATGACGTTGACATGCTGATAAATAGCCAACAGTTCAGAAAAACAGCACTGACACCAACATTTCAGACAAACAGCTGAGAATACACAGGCAAAAAGTAATAATTGCCAATATTATATAATATAGGGATGTTGGAAAAGGGAACTAACAAAAGCCAAAAGAGTATAGATTCTGAAAGTTTGAATGAGGCCGTGTACATATAATCAAAATGTGGGAGGCAGGATAGAGTGGGTTTTATGATATTGAGGAATTATCGGAAATGATTGATGAATACACAAAGGAATCAAGGGGGCGATAAAATAGTCAGGTGGCATGTTTATACTTATGAGGGTGATGCAGGACAATGTGATGTTGAAGGAGGATATAATCACAGACACTTTTAGATTAAGGATGGCATCTGACAAACAGAATTTGACCAATGGTTTTAGATACAAAGAGGAATTAGTTTCACCAAAGCAATCCAACACATAACTTGAAGACTATCAAAAGCATAGCGTTCCAATTGATGCCTTCATCATCGATGAATCCTGCGTTCTTCCAGGAAGAAATATTTGGTGCTGGTGCTTCTTGGACGCAGCACTTCTGATTGACGATTAACTTGTGGATTAATCAATCTATACAAAGTAATTTTGCAAACACTAATTGTCTGCAACTCACAACAAGCCCCTCCCAAAAAAAGGAGGAAAGAACTGAAAAACAAAAAGGAGCGCTCTGGTTCAAGCTTCGCAACGATTGCCATGCTGAAGATGTGGGATTAAAGTGACAGAAAGTGATTTGAACATTCAAGAATTGTTACTGTTATGTCGTTCCTTGACTTCTAAAACATCTTCAGTGCGCAGTTCCGAAATAACACTCCGTGAACCTCAGCAACTTCGATGGATTGGGATTGGTGCTCCTTGGCTTTTCAAGATCACTCAAACCCCAAGGGCTACGCAAGCACAAAGACTCCAATAGGATCTAGCACCTTGAAGGTCCTTGACAAACCTTTATCTCAAGCACCTTTCAACACAGTCTGCAGTCCTTCAGAACGGAAGGAGAGCACACCCCTACAAACAAGGCAAGCGCGCAAATAGCTTGTAAAAGCATGTCCACAAGAATTCCCAAAGACCCTAAATGGGAAACTGATAAAAAGAACTGATTCATGCCTTCCAAAGCCATCTTCGACATCAAACTTCCCCTCAGCGTTTCAACCGCAGCAGAGCCAGTTTAGCTCAAAACCTGCAGGTCACCTTGGATCTTCTTCTGAGCTATGACATGTCAAACAACAGAAGCTGCTGTAAGGCTCGGACTGGGAGAATGAATTCCCCTGTTGTCACAAAAGAGGACCAGTGTCCAGTGTGTATATATATAGTTCTGCAACGACAAATCTGCACAAACAATACATGTATAACTGTTCTCAAGAAGCAAAATGCACCTGCCAAGCCACCGAAGTCATCTTGGCAATTTCACGGGGCCCGAGGAAGAAGCTCCAAAGAAAAGGTTTTGGAACCCTCGTGAAACAAACATAGTGGACATGGCCATGTGCAGCTGATGACGACGACGACGACGACGATGATGATGATGATCTAATGTCTCCATGTATATAGAGTGATCAGGTGATGCCAACAAGCCAATACCATGTCCGAAAAGAAATGTTCAGTTTTGTCACTTCGAAGTGCGTGCCTTACCAACATGTGGTTCTCCACTTGTGACGTGTCAAAGTTCAGCTTTCACATGTTGTGTAAAGGTGAAGGATTGAACCAACAAGCTGCAACACAAATCCAGCACAGTTTTTGGGTTGGTGTATCAACTGCACCTTGCGAAATTCGTTGCTAAAGGACCCGCACCACTTTTGGCAACAAGCACAAACTGTCTCTTTGAAACAGTTGTGCTAAGTGCTTTGTTCGAAGCTGGCATTTGCGGAAAGCATTCAGTGGGCGCAACATCTGCATAAGTATATGATACCGGCTGATGGTCGATGTCTCTTCCGCAAGCTGCTGGGTGTAAACCTTTACTGGATGTATTTACACTTCCACATGTGCATAGCCTCCGTTTCGAACCGCCGTTTCTGGCACGTTCCAAGGCTATTGTGGACATGGAGTTTTCTGGCTCATGGTTGAAAAGCAACACAAAACGATGATAAACGATTTACAGTAATGGAGTTTGTAGACCTCGCTGACCAGACTGCGAAATCAAGCCAACCTTCATCCAGAGGGTGCTTCTCCGCGGCCTGAGGGAGCTCTTCCACTCTTCGACTGTGTGGACAAGTGCAGCAGCCAGCCTAGAGTCCTACAGTTCTAGAGAACCATAAGCGACTCTGAGGAGCACACTCTCTCTGATTGCCGGGAGCGAGCTCACCGCCTCAGGCACTAAATCCAGTACTTGGCAACAAAACAACGCTGCCAAACAATGCACAAAGGCTGCTCGAGGGGAGATGATGTGACCGGTCTCCCCTCATCACTTGTGTGTTCAAGGGACAAACAAACACTGTTGGAGCACGCGCTTCTGGCAGTGTGCCACATGGACCCCATGTCCAGTCTCCCACAGTTGGCCTGCTCAATAAGGGCCAAGTCAACCTTCGGTCGATCTGGAAGCGCCTGCTGGCTTGTCCTTCGGAGTAAAGCCGAAAGGCTTTTGGCCAGCCCAAAGTCAAAGCAAAGTCAGTCCTTGTGGGTTCAAATGCCTCATGACGTTGACAAAGAGGGCAGCGTTTTGGAAGGCAAAATCAACATGAACACAGTCAGTGTAGCAACTTGACCTTCCTATTTATATCAGACCTTTCCGTCAAAACATTACAGTTAAAAATACACAGAAAAAGGGGTGTTACAGTTTTTCGGCACCGATTTCTCTCGGCACCAATTTGGGGGAGGGCTGTTTCGATAGCCCATCGGCAGCTTAGTTTTTTCATAAGCACCGTTCAGAAACAAATCATGATTTACCCTGTTGAATCCCCATACATGATTCACGCTTGGCAGTGCCATATCTGGCGCAGTTCTGGAGACCCAACATTTTTCCGGAATAGCAGTACTCAAAGACTCAAAGTTCGTCTTCTGATATTCCTCCAGACTCCAGATAAATAATCAGTTCATACAAGACATGTGCGGAAATTTTCCTTTTGGAAACCTGTCCTTCCACTGCCTGCATAATATGCGTGGTTCTCTACCAAATTGGGAAGTCACGCGATTCAGTGCGCAATGAAGCTTGGATGTGATTCCTTCGGAGTTCTGACTGTGTTACTCAAACACATGTGGGAAGCCATCAAGAATGCCAATGCGTCTCCCGCTTCTTTGGAGGCGTGTTCATATGGGTGTTAATTCCGACTGGACCATCATGGCCAACATGCCCCTGGAACTGTTGCCCAATCAAATTCAAGGAATGGATCGTCAGTTGAGGCTCGCTATGCCTCCAGGATTGCTGAAAGGAGACTTTGAAAGTCGTCCGAACGATCATATAACAGCCGTCATCAAAAGATCTTATCGACGCTACGGAGCGCCTTTTCTCCCTTGAGCCAAAACAAGTGAAGTTCTTAGTCAAGAACTGTACAGTACAAGCGAAGTATATATGGGCTATACATGTCAACGCTCCTCCTCTTGCGAAGAGATTTAACTCTGACTAGGCTATACAAACAAATCGAGTTTTCACTTGTCTCTTCCACTGCACTCAGTGCCGCTGTTCCATGGTAGTGGGGCCTGGCCACGGCCTCATACGAGGATGTCAAGTTGGCCTTTGCTCCTTTTGTCGAAAAAGATGTACTGAAGATCTTCCGCCGCCTTTCGGAGCTGGACTCCAGGGACATGATTCCCGTAGTAGTGCTCTTGCGCATGGCAGCATCGCCGCCATGGTCTGCATCAACTTGCACTCGCAACTTGGTTGGCATCTGTTGTGAACTGAAGACTTGCGCCACGTCCAGATACCTCTTGAGGTAGCGGATGAGCCTCTGCAGATCTGCTAACTTTGCCTCGGTGGGTGTTACCATTCCACGGGCAAAGTTCTTTATACAGCATGACCTGTGTCCAGGTGATCTTGCGGCCAGGTATGCTGCTCTCACGGTTGCGGATCTGTACTGCGATGCATCCATCACACTTGTCTAGCAGTGGGCTTCGAGATTCCAACATTTGTTGATCCGAAGACTTCTTGATGTCAGGTGACTCAACACCATTTGCCTTCTCCAAACCAAATGTCTGGAGAAGGTCTACACGTCGTCGATCTGCCTCGATCACGACTGAAATTCTGCCATTCTGCTCATCGACGCGGATCAACCGATTCCAGGAAATGAGACTCCTGTCTGTCTCCATCTTCATTTACAAGAATACCGAGACATTTCATCTTATAGGCCTCACCTCTAAGTTTGTCCAGGTGAATTGCATCTCCCAAGGCTAGGAAAACATTACCGTGAACCATCACTCGGACATCCCAGTCCTCAAGGAAGAAAACTGACGCGTTTGAGACTCCTCTACGGAGCCCGGCCTTTTGCAAGGTTTCTGTGAATGCGCCTGCCAGATGCTCGGGGCGTCTTGCGTTCCACAAGAAGTCCACAGCTCTGCCCGTCTTTGCTGGCTTCATCTTCTTCACGCAAATCTACGTAGATTTTCCTCTTTGGCGTTCCATAGATCAGAAATCCCACCCTCAGCTTCTGGTTGCGGCAAGACTTTCTCTTGGTTGCCCACAACAAGCATAGCAGTCTCATCGCCTCCAGGGATGGCGCGCTCCTAAAAAGCAAGTTCGCTGGCAATTGTTCCTCGCACTACCAGTCTGCACCTATAGTTCGGGTTTGTTGGGTCACCCTTGTTGGTGTCCAACCACTTTGCCCGTCTCATTTGAGCAAACACCCTCCAAGGTTCGCGCTTGGTCATCCAGCCGGTCTCTTTCCGGACATAACCTGCACCTTGGAGTCCTCTTTTGTCTGTAGCCACCATCTGCCATCTGCACATTGGTCCTTTGACCACGAACACGAACACTCCTTCCAGCTTGTTGTGGCCCGTGGGGCCTCGTGAAGGAACTTGCGTCCTGCGCGACGCTGCTTGGTGTACAGCTCCGCGCTTGTGCGCAAGCTTTGCGAATACAGCTCCATCACGTCTACTGCAGACAGCTCGTCCAGCAATGCAACGCCGGCACCAACTCCTATACTGCACACATGGCCTGTCGCCGCGCGCTCCTCGATCTCCGCCAGTGGGGTCCTCCGGCGCTCTTATTTGGATGGGTTTCTCAACCTCATCAACTTGAAGCTCTCGCTCCACCTTGCGCTGCATTCAGCTGTGCAATGGCGTTGCATTCCTTTGTCTTCTCAAGTGGAAGTTATACACTCCCTGCTTTTGATACACAGGGATCCAACCCCGCTGCCCTGCAGCGCTCGCGTTGAGGATTCTGGACAGCTTTGGACTCTTGCGGAATCAGAGCTCCGCCATTCACATCTCAAGTACTGCAATCCTTCCAAGGCCTAAGGATTTGGACGCTGAAATCAAAGGCTTGTGAGCATCGGCCATTGACCTCCTCCGCGTTCATCGCCCTTCAAAGGTTCCAATGCCCTGGCTGGGCACCAACTCCCCTGACGCAGTCTTGAACACAACTCCACTGCCTTCACTGACAGTGACTCTGTCCTCCCAGCCATGCGGGATGGCCGCTTGCAATGGCATTAGAACAACAGGTCTGACCTTGGTCAACAGCTTCAACAAAGCAAGGTAAGGTTGGGACAAGAGAAGCAGAGTTTGAGGGAGAGTCAAGGAGGTGTAGCAACGCTAGCAGGCTAGCAGGTGCTGTAGGTGAACTAGCTAAGAGTGAGAGCAAAGGGAACAAATCACTTCCGACGATGGGCGCGACCCATCGACAACCTTTTCATTTCCGCTTTTTGGACGAGAGTTCATTGAGGTTTTGGAATGGTGTTTAGAACAAGGAGATCAGATTGAAACCAAAATGCTTGAAGATTAGTTTTTTGGAAGTGGCACAGTTAGTGCAATTGAAGACCTCACTGATAAAGCCGACCAGATCCATCGGGTATTGCTATCCCTCACTTCCGGAGAGACAGAAGACCTCATGATTGGTGCACCCAATGGTTTTGATGCCTACCGACGAGTGCATAGAAGATGGGACCCTTGAACCTCAGGGAGAAAGCGGAACATCCTGCGGGCAGAGCTGGCGCGCTGTCAGGCCCGCCATCGAGCAACTGGAGGAGTTGGCTTGCAGGTACGGAGCTCGGCGCAATGCCGCGCTTTTGCCTTGTCCTTTTCCTTTGACCAGGCTTGCAATCCATTGTCCTATTGAATCAACATCCATTGGTTGAGGTCCCCGGTATGAACTCGAACTCGAAATGGGTTTTGGGATGGATGATATGGAGGTTAGGGATGATGCAATGACTAGTTCCTTGGGGCGCCAACATTTTCAGGGCGCACTTTCGATGTCATCTGACAACACTACCCGAGGTCAAGGAAAGGGCGACGGTAAGCAAGGCTCAAGCAAAGGAGGCTCAAGCAAGGCTCAAATACGGCTCACGACCTCGCGCGTTACAACTGCGGAAAGAAGGGACGTAAAGCTGCCGATTGCTGGAGCAAGAGACGGCAGGATGGAAAAGGTCAGGGCAAAGCGACGGGTTCAGGAAAAGGCGCGGGAAAAGGTAAAGGTTCAGGCAAAAGCAAAGGTAAAGGCAAAGCAGCAGGTAGTACGGAAGAGGCAGAAGATCAGGATGAGGGCATTGAGCCCGCGCCTGAAGCAGATGTCGGAATGCTCATGGCCCAAACGTTAGTGGAGTTGGAATAGTGGACGTTTCGTCCGCCGGTGAATGAATGAAGTTCAACCTGGACATTTGCTTCAACCCCGGATTCCCTTCAACCGCTGCAAGCCTATTTTCAGTGCTGGGACGAGAGCATCCGCCGGCCTCCTACCGGGCCGTGAAAAGGCTGTACTCTACCCCTCGCGGGGGACAGAGCGGACCTCCGACTGCCGCGCGCCAGCTCTGTTGGCGGCCGGCCGAACAATGGCTCACCCAGTCGCCTCCTCCTCCTCCTCCTGTGCTGGAGGCCTGGCAAGGGATTTGGTGTGGGCGCTGGCTGCCTTTTCCTCTTAGATGCAGCGGGTGTCCTTTGAGGCCACGAGGTTTGAAACGCTCGATGGCCTTGGGAATTGAAGCATTGTTTGTTTGATTGCACGCTGGTCGCACGAACTGCACGCCTGTCCACTGGCTCCTTTGCCCCCTTCTCCAAGCTCTTTCCAAAGTTGGCGGATTGCTGCAAGTGCAATCGTGCCTTTCAATCTCCCCTCTTCTCCGCAAAGTTGGTCAGCAGTCAACTTCCTCACTTGAAATGGAGATTCAAGTCGCCGGTTGGCGATCACCTGCTCTTTGGCCCTTTCGCTGACAAGGTCTTTGATCCTCTGGTTCAACTTGAGGGCACGACCCCAAACTTCGCGACCCCGTGTCTCGTCGCGGCCCACTTGCTGCTGGACTGCCCTGATTGCAGTCTGCCTGCCAGCTGAGCGAAGCCGCAATGGGCCTGGAACGCAACCTCCTCCTCCCTCCTCCTCTCTTTTTGGCCCTTGTCCCTCACGCTTTGCCCTTCGAGCTTGATGTCTCTTCTTTTGTTCCTCACGTTCTTCACGAATCTCGCTTGTCGGTCGGGAGCTACCAAATTCTTTGATCTTGTCCTTAAAGCTCTTCCAAGACCTTTCCACCCTGCTTGCTCTGCTGGCGGATGTAGCCCTTCAAGGACCTGTATTGCCTTGAAACCCTGCTCCTCAGCCTGAAGCCCGACGAGCCCCTTCCGCTGGACTCTCCTTCAAATCGATGGGTCTTCTTCGGCTTGGCGGATGTACGCCACGGTGCAGTGGCGATCGCACGTTCCGCTCTTCCGTGGAGCCTTGGGGACTTTAGCTCCCAACTGTGCTTTCGTCCGTTTGAGTCAACGTACTCGTCACCCAACACGGAGATCAAGGTCACTGGGTTCCTTTTCACTCTCTTGCCCTTATTCTTTGGGCTCTTCGTCTAGTCTTGGTTCCTCTACTTCGTACTTTTCTTCGTCGGGTTCTGTTCCAGGCAATTGTTCAGCCTTTCGGGCAAAGGTTCCTCTCTCTTCTTTTCTTCTTTCTTCTCCTCCTCTTCCTTATTCACCGGCTCGGTTGCCGGCGCGGCCGGAACGGCCGCTTCCGACGCCAGCCCGTCTTCCTCTTTCCACTCCTCCTCCGAGGAGTCTGCGGCTTTACTGCGCCGCTCTTCCTTCATTCGCAACGCGTGGTCTCTTTCACTCTCACCGGGCCTTCGCGCTACCATCAAAAGATCTTATCGACGCTACGGAGCGCCTTTTCTCCCTTGAGCCAAAACAAGAGAAGCCCTTAGTCAAGAAATGTACAAACGGAGTATATATGGATACATGTCAACACGTCATGAAGTGTTATATATTTCGAGTGTATATTTGCACATGTGACATGTGAGATCATGTGAGAACTTGCTTGGGGAGGTCACACCTAAAGAGACGTCAGGGGAAGGGCCTCTCATTGCTCAGCTTTGATTGACACTGAGAGGTGGCCAGCCCCAGCAAGTGAGGAGCTAGAAGCACCCTCGCAAGAATCCACTCACTGCAAGCTCTGAGAGCAATGCCCTTCCAGATTGAGAGCTGTTCAGCGCACGTGGAGATGCTTCCTGACGATGCAAAAGGGTCTATTGCACAATTTCACTCCCATTTTAACAAATTCAAGCACAATAAGTTCATGTTCCATATCATATACGGGCTTCATTGTGAAATAAGACAAGGTATCTGCCTTCTTTCTGGGAGTGTCATGAGTGTCCAGGACAGACGACCCCAAAGAGAGGAGCACCTGGGCAGAACAGAACATGACAGCAAGGAGCTATTGCTCCAGTTGGAGATCAGCTACTTTTGCAACACAAAGGGAGGAATGCTTTGCCAATTTCCGACTTCTATCGGCATGACTCTGTGAACGTGCACAGCTAACTTGCCAACTGAGCTGGATTCCGAACACGCCTGAGATCCCGGCACTTGACCCCGCATTGCTCATTCTGAATGCAGAACCCTGGCAAGGATGATTCCAATTATATTTCTACAATCTGCAAAGAAAAGACCTGTTCGTGCCTGTGATCGTGGATGAACGGTGTAGTAGGCATCCGTCGGTCGCATTTTCACCCACTTTGGGGCCAACAAAAAGAACATCCATGTGTGTTCACCAGGCTCGGCCTTAGCCCCAAAAAATACTGCTGGCTCTTCCAAACATGCAACTAAACCAGAATGACTGAAAGGAACTAAGAAACCTCAAAGGAAAAAATACGGCATGAAATAGCACAAGAACAGGACAACTGGACAACTAAAGGCAGGAACCCCATCTCTGTCCGGCAACTCATCGCTGAAATCCCGCTGCATCCCCCAGAGTTGACTAACCTGCAAAGGTTCCAAATCAAAAGCTGCCACGAACACTGCGAAATGCAATTTAACTTGACAGGTGCTTTAAACCTCGTTTGCCAGCCTTCCGGAGTCCGAGAGTGGCAAGCAAATCGACATCCTTGGAAAGCACGCCCATGTACCTAGTAGCAGACTTTGGCAGTTGGAAGCAACCTGCCCGCTTTGGTAGGGCACGCAACTACACCTCGCTCCGAGTCCACAGTATGCATATGGAAAGCGATTTGGATCAAGTCCTCAGTATCTGCAAGCCAACCGCTTTGAGTAGTGAATAGGAGAACTCTTGTTCAAGGCACAAGGACAAAAGATGCAGCAGTCGTATGTGCCTGGTCAGTCGCACTGACAACCACCGTGGAACCCTCCCAATCTTGGTCAACCTTTTTCTGCAACCGCTGCACCTTGGTGGCCAAATTGATTCACGTCTTTGTCTAGCCCGACCTAGCTGCAACTCACTCACCTCAATGAATCCAAAGATTGAATCATTGGGGCGCAAACCATCGTTGGAAGTGTCATGCGGCTCCCCCTGGAGTTGTCCTCCAGGCCCTTACCTGGACATCATTTCATCTTTGTGATTGGCATTCCGACATCATCCTAATTTGACATTAAGCCTTTTCGACCATATGCAGACTTCTGCCTGCTTGTATGCCCTGGCCTGTTAGCTAGTCGCTTCTCTTACTGCTTAGCTTGCTGCTCCAATTCTCACGTTCAACCAATGCTTCACTTTCCTTGCATTTATGCTCTGCCGCTCAGCGTGTCAGGGTTGCCTCTGCCAGCTAGAAAGGAGCTTTCGGAGGTCATCTGCGCTTTGTCCTGTCACAATCTGTCCAATGTGCAAAGGCCTTGCTAGGTGGTTTAGACGCCAACCCTCTGCAGTATCAAACACCCTCGTCAGCAGAGCCAGTAGTGAACTTTCACTGCGAAAGCTCCTTTTCCCCAGCACGCACATCCATCACATGCCAGGTAAGTGTTGAGCTAGCTGAGGGGTGGGGTGAAGTCAAGCTGTGTTGAGTTTGAAGCCGGCCTAGATCCAAGCAAGCAAACAGGTGAGGAAGCTCAGCAAAGAGTTCGTTCGCGTCTTACCTTTATATATATATATATATGGTGAGGTTGCTCAGCGGTAAGGTCGCTACATCGTCACCTCCCTGTCTGACACACCATTAGAGGTAAGCTAGTCAGGCTAAGCTACCTTTGCAAAGATTAAGCTGGCCAAACCATTATTTTGTCAAGTGTTGAGCTTGCTATATAAGGGGTGATTAGCTGTTTGAAACAGCTAAGAGCTGGCTGAGGTGCTGAGCCAAGCTATTAATTAAGTAACAGCTTAGCTAAGCGCTGATCTGCCAAAATGGTCAGCTTCCAAAGTGTTAAGTTCGTTCAGTGATGACTTGCTGAGACGTACCAAAATACAAAATTTTGAGGAAACCAAGTGGTGAGTTGGCTAGGCAGTGAGCTAGCTAGTGCATGTAGCCTAGCCTTAACACATTGAGTACTGCTACATATTGGTGAATGCACTTCCTCAAAAGAAATAAAATTGCGCCAGTCACCAAAAACAACAGTCCTGCGCCAGCTCAGCTAGATTGAGTTAGGTGCGTGGCAGCTAAGTGCGCAAAGTAGCTGAGTGGTAGGCTAGCAAGACAAGCACTGATAGACAGAGTGGTGCAGGAGATTCGAAGCACCCGAATGCACACAGACCCTGCAAATGCGCACTTTGCAAAAACCCAAACACAGTGCACTCTCACTTTGCAAAGCACGGGCGCAGCGCAACACCGGCAAAAGACTTGAAAGCAAGCAATTGGTAGGCGGCAGGCGCAGTATCCAGAGCCTCCAGAAGGGGCTCCGGCGCGCGTTGTCGCCGCTGGTGCCGCTGGCTGTCCTCGTGGCAGGCGCAGTACCCAGAGCGCGTTGTCGCCTCCAGAAGGGGCTGCGGCGCGCGTTGTCGCCGCTGGTGCCGCTTGCTGTCTTCCTCGTGGCAGGCGCAGTACCCAGAGCCTCCAGAAGGGGCTGCGGCGCGCGTTGTCGCCGCTGGTGGCGCTGGCTGTCCTCGTGGCAGGCGCAGTACCCAGAGCCTCCAGAAGGGGCTGCGGCGCGCGTTGTCGCCGCTAGTGCCGCTGGCTGTCCTTGTGGCAGGCGCAGTACCCAGAGCCTCCAGAAGCGGCTGTGGCGCGCGTTGTCGCCGCTGGCGCCGCTGGCTGTCTTCCGCGTGGCAGGCGCAGTATCCAGAGCCTCCAGAAGGGGCTGTGGCGCGCGTTGTCGCCGCTGGTGCCGCTGGCTGCCTTCCGCGTGGCAGGCACAGTATCCAGAGCCTCCAGAAGGGGCTGCCATTGTGATTGTGCGCTACTGCCATTGTGATTTGCGCAGCAAGGGTTCTCACTGGTTCGGAATCGCATTGTAATGGCTGCGGCGCGGATGTTTGCAACATGTCTCTGTGCGCTACTGCCATTGCGATTTCCACAGCAAGGGTTCTCACTGGTTCGGAATCGCATTGTAATGGCTGCGGCACGGAAGTTGGCAGAGTGTGTTTGCGCGCTACTGCCATTGTGATTTGCACAGCCAGGGCAATCAATGCCTGCGAATCGCATTGTAAATGCTGCGGCGAGGGTGTTGGTGAAGCCTGTCTCTGCGCTACTGCCATTGTGATTTGCAGTTCTCTAGTTTAGCCTGCACGACCGTTCTGAATCTTGTTTTGAAAGTTCTCTGGCCATGGTTGTCATCACAAAAACTCACGTGGTTGCAGCAGACATGTTTTGATTCACTTACTTACATGTTTTCATGACATGTTTCTTTTCAACATCTGTGAAACGCCGATTGCATTTGCGGATCTGATGCGGATCTGGCCAACATCTGTGAAGGTCTCACGCGGATCTGATCGCAAAATCCAGAGCCTCCAAACTTCTCTCTCCGCCTCCTTCTCTCTCCCTCTCTCTCTCTCTCTCTCTCTCTCTCTCTCTCTCTCTCGTCCCTCTCGTCCTTGTTCATCACATCATCAGACACTTTATCACACACCCACACACTCATGGATATGCATACTGACTTGACGGCGGTGCCACACGCCGGCCTAGGGTTCCAATTCCTAAGAGTACCGGTAGGGAACCAGCGAATCCTGGGGGTCTTCAAACGGAGAAGTGGCCCAAAAAGGAAGAAACCGAACGACGAACGAACAGGCTGACGACGATCCGCTCACATCTGCAGCGCAAAGAAAAAGCAACAAAACATCTAAGCATCGAGGTTCTTGGCTTACGATTGTCCTGAGGCAAGAAAAGTCAGTTTGCAGCAGCTTGCAAGAGCTGATTGAACTTTGGTCGAACCAGCTCCCTTTTAGATACGGAGTGAACTCTTGGGCCACAAATGTTTGCTTGCAGGTGAACCGTTTTCCCACCGGGCGTTCGATCCAAATCCCAGATTCAATGGAATCGTCGCAAGATTTTTCTTCCGGTGTTCATGTACGACACTGGATGCACAACCCGCTGGCTAGAGTTCAGGATCGTGGCCACCGTCCTTCACCGAGGTGAACTGCCCTCTTGCGGGCATTACCAAGGAATTTTGCACACAGGCGGAGGCCGCTTTTTGACAGATGATCACACGGTTCCTGTCGCGTGTCCCCACCTGCCAGTGATGGAGACAGATGCTTACATGTTTTGGCTAGTTGCTAAATCTTCATTGACCTCAGCATTCGGCAAGATAGTCGAACCTCGGAACCCCTTTGTTCCGATTCGTTCATCATGATGATGCCACTTTGCCGCCCGGGCAGCAGCTCACGAAGCTGCCGATCGTTCGTTCGATTGAAAGCCTAACACGGGCTGAGATCACTCAGCCGGCCGAGAATTAAAATGAATAATGGGGGGCGCAATTCAGTGACCTCCGCTTTTGAGCGACATGATGACCGCGCCCTAGCGATAAAGACCAACATCAAGTAAGTTGGTCTATGAACTTGTGAGCCTGCAGCTGTATGTCAGAGAACATTAGAGAGCATTTGAGCGGACCATCCGTGAGATATCCAGGCTCGAAACACGTAACCCGTGCAACATGGAGCCATACGACGACGCGATGTCTGCTGCCTGCGCTGCTTTGCAACGGATGATTGAGAGCAGTTTGGACACGCCGATCGAGGATCAGCCAACACTCGACCGGCTTTTGGCAGCGCACCAGTATCACTTCGGTGATATTTCAGATTGGCCAAATGACATCTGTGAAATACTTCCTGGGGAGATGATGTCTTTGGAACCGCCTGAGATCTACTTTCTCGGGAGCTTGGCTGCCTGTCGCCATCTCCGGACTCACCAGGAAACTGTCCACTTTCCTATCGCAAGGTATCGGTTGTCTTGAGCTTTTGTCCGCGGGAGAATCCCAGAACATACTTGGATGACACCAATACTTTTTGTCAAGAAGTGGGAAATGCCTGGTTGTCATCGTGGATGGACATGTGCTGCGCTCTTCTGAAGCACTTGAAGGCAACGACTCAGCGAGAAGAACGAGGCATCCTCTTTCATTGCTTCGGCGGAGTCAACCGCAGCTCAGCGGCATTGTGCGCATGGTTGATCTTTCGTCGTCGGCTCTCTGCGGAAGCGGCTGTACAGAGCTTGTTGACGGCCCGTCCCACGCTTCACCCCTGGAAGCATCGACCGCATGTCTTCTGGGCATTGCGTACTTGGGAGAAGAACCTAAATTACTTTCTAAGACCTCGCATTTTTGCTGCAGTTCAAGAACTGTGAGCTAGCACGCCGGCGAGTCGACGTGACGAGCTGGACAGACTGTGGCGATACACTGCTGCGAAAAGAGTCGAAAACAACGCTGCCTTGCGTTGCATAACGACTGACGGAGTTCGTTTCTCAAAAGAATTGGCACTGACCAAGTTCGTTTCTGACGTCGACACTTCTGATGTTTTGTGCTAGCCTCCGCCTTCAGTGTTGCAAATATATACTCACTGTTCGTGCGAGTTGACCGGAGCTCAGGTCCTGCCTGGAGCTCACTCTACATCTCTGCGTGAGAGAAAAAAAGCGTGTCTCGCCTCTTCTTGCTTTACATCCTGCTAACACTGCCCGCCGTGGTCGGGATAAGACCACTTGATAGCTTTGATGGTCGTTTCGAGTGTGTTACGTTTTGAAGGTCGCATGCGGATCTGATGGCAAAATCCAGAGCCTCCAAACATCTCTCTCCGCCTCCTTCTCTGTCTCTCTCTCTCTCTCTCTCTCGTCCCTCTCGTCCCTCTCATCCTTGTTCATCACATCATCAGACACTTTATCACACACCCACACACACACACGCACGCCATCTTACCACACACACACACACCTCCTCCCTCCCCTCATTCACATCCTCGTCCATCACATCATCACTTATACTGCACGTCTGAGCATAACCGCCTCATATACCTTCTCTCCTCACACTTCGCTCTTGACTTTTCATCTCACTACTCCGTCTCCCATGTGATGTTCATATACATTTGAAATTTGTAAAACTTATCATGTGGGGTTATCCGGCCCTTTTATTTGCTTTTGCTTTTTCATTTGCTGTTTTTGCTATTCGGATTTGGTGTTTTTGCTTTTGCTTTTTCATTTGCTTTTTTGCTGTTTTTTGGAGTTGCTTTTTTATTGTGTTTTTTCAATTGCTTCTTTTGCTTTTTGGATTTGTGTTGTTTGTGTTTGCTTTTTCTTTTGCGTTTTTGGCCTTTTAATTTTGCTCTGTTTTGCTTTTGCTTTTCGCGGTTGCTTTTTGTCGCTTTTTTTGCTTCTATATTTTTTGGCGAAACCATCAGAGATAGCTCAAGTGGTTTTCTTAACTGTAGCCTTCTTTCAATTGGGTCATCTTTTCGAGGACGCCTAGCTTCTGAAGTCTCTGCTCTTCAACCTCATCGGCCAAGCGCTCAACCCATAGAGGTGGGTCTGGAGGTACTCGATCAAGAGGTGCATCCGCGCTGTGGGATTGCATTGGAGTCTGTCACTTCATCCTCACCTTCTTCCCACATGGCCAAGTCCTCCTCCTCAATGACCTGGCCCATAGCGTCGCTGAGATTATCCTCTCTTGCATCGGATCATCCTGGGATCGTGCCCTCTTTGGTTCTGAGCTCAAAAGTTCAAGCGCGCGTAGTGTCTTGACTGGTGTTTGCTTCAACTTCTTGGCTTCTGATTCCACAACTCCTTCTGATTCTGGTTGATTCGACTTCTGACTCCCATGTCTTGGCGTTGGTTCTTGCTCTCATCAATCTCTGACCTCACAGGAAAAATCTCTGCGAGCGTCTTCTCATCGATCTCCTCCTCCAAAGGCATCCTTTAGTCTACATCCTTGTGGCCATACGTTCTGATCTTTCGACCTTGCGCATCTTGAAGGAATGGCGTCATCCCACTCACTTTCTTTCCCTTCGTCACCATCGACCCTGGAAAAAGCGATGCATCTGCACCAGAGTTGACGACGATTGTCACTTCTGTCAACTCCGGCTGCTCTCATGCGTCCACCTTGTCATCATCCATGTCCTCAAGAAGGACATGGACTGAGAGCACTTTGTCCTCTTGGTCCACCTCCTCGTCATCTGTGAAGACGTCGACGATTTCCACTTTTGACCCACCTCGCTTCTCCATGCTCTTCACTATGCGAATTGTGCCTGAGGTCTCAGAGCTCTGCCTCAAGTCGAAGAAAACTGGTTGCGAAACACGTCACGCTGTCGTCTTTGACGAATGGACAACGTTGTCGCCGATGATGGAGGCACTGTAGACTGGGTGGTGGAGGCTGGAATCTGCTGTGTTGGTAGGCCCTCAACTTGTCGCGCTCGCCAGCAGTCCTTTGAGTGATGGCCTGGCCACCCACAAGCCCAACACACCTCAACTGAAGTCTTCCCTTTTCCTCCCTTCTGATCTTTTCCACCCTTGTCTTTCTGGTCACCCTTGGTGTTCGTTGCTTTGCCCCCTTTCCCTTTGCCCTTCCCTTTGTCTTCTTTGCCCTTGCCCTTGCCTTTTCCCTTCTGGTCTTTTCCTTTGCCGCCTTTCTGGAGCCCGTCAATCTCCATATAGGCGCCAACCCATTGGGATCTGTCTGAGGTACAGGGCTCGTGCTCGAAAAACAACTCAAAGCTGCGCTCTCATTCCAACAGGGATTGGCTGCGTCATAGGCCGGCACGGTCTCACGGATCTTGTTGTAGCTGCTGCCTTCATTCAAAGTCAGGTTGAGATGGGTGGGTCTTCAACTGACCACTGGTCACCTTCAGAAGCACTGCTGACTTCATAGGTGCCAACTTTCCTCCTAGCTTCTCACGCTGTGCAAAGTGCTCGTCCAACTTCAAGATCTGGGGAAGGATCGAAAGCTTCATATTGAAGTTGGGATATGCTCATCGCGCGGTTCCGGGCCTTTGGCTGGCAGTTCACGAGGAGTGGTCGAAGAGCTTCATGCCCGTTGTAGTTGCCCACATTCTTGATGAGGCCAACAAGCCTGCCCTGCACCAAGCTTCCCAACAGGCTATACAAGAACCGTCCACGTTCCTGTTCTTTGGTGCCCATGAAGGTCCAATCCACCTCAGTGTCCATGTGCTCTTCCAACCTCGTCAGCTCTTCTTGAAAGCTGCCTTCAACCACCACCAGGTATTGCCTCAATCTCCTGTTCTCGGTCTGCTGGATGAAAACCCCAGGTCGTGGAATCAGCTTCGCTAGGTCCTTCTTCAAAGTACCTGAGTAAAAACTCACCAACTCCGCTCAGTCAAGTGAACCTCGTTGGGCTTTGGAATGTAGGGCCACCAAGGTCTCCACAAGAATGAGGTCAAAGGCTGCAAGTAAGCAAAGATCAGCTTCGAGGAGCTCACAGGCTATGAGGCGAGCAACCTGCAACACCAGTTTATGAAAGCTCGGCACGGGCACTCGCAACACGTTGGGCCCATGGTGGAGGTGGGGTCCTGCCTCCCAAAGGTCCGCCAGAGCTCCAGCCAGACACGTGTGAATGGCCTTCACAGCTCGTCTGCGATTTGTGCGTGTCATCCTTGTGCACACAACAGCTCAAGTTTCACAATATACAGTTCTTTCATAGGGTTGCAGAGGCCTTGCTGTCACATCAGTTTGGGGTGTGCTGCTTACGGGCCAAGGGCGTTTCCTCTGGTTTCAATTAGTCCAATGACTTTCTAGGCCCAGCGCTTGAGGTGTGCAAAGCATCTCTCTGTAGGGTTTGAGAAGCAACGTTAGACACCAGACTTTCGGTCAACCCAACCTGTTTCGGATTCACCTAGTGTCAAGAAACCGTAATGTGATATAAGGAATGTACCAAGATAGCACGGAAAGAATATATGACAAGCCCAGTGGGGAGCTGGCAAAGCGTCCGTGCTTAGTGCCTGCACCATCCACGCAGACTGCTGCGATTTGAGGAACTTCTCCTGAGACCTTACAGCAGAAAAAGTGTCTGGTCCAGATGCTTGCCAACTTGTCCTTGTTTTCGCCGAAGTCCGAGACTTGTTCAACGAAGTTCTCGACCCAACTGCAACAGACCGTAGAAAGAGCTTTGTCGCCTCATGAGACTTGTCATGCGTTTTTGCCTTTGTCGCCCACTAAAGTCAAACGCGAAAGCCACCAGCCTCCAATTCTGCATCTTTGTCACCCCCAAGGTATGGATATTGCCTTTCAATGACACCAATTCCAACTCCAGACTTCCCAGTATGTTCACAAAGCCGGGAAAGTTTCAGGACGAGATACTCTCTGTCGGCCGTCACACCGTGGAGCATTGGCTCATGTTTGAGCCGACGCTCCTCGGAGCTTCTCTGAAAAGATGAAGAGGAAGAAGCTTGTTTCAGAAAAATTGAACAAATGACAGTGACAGGTCCTGACGATATATATGTATATAATATATAGATATATATACAGTATATAGAAATTGAAAATGAAGACACAAATAAGAACTGTTCAAAGAGGTTGCTAAAAGATCTGCTACATCTTTACAGAAGCAACTGCTGCCTAGCCTGCGAGCTGTAGCGCCAGTCATGGTTCGCTATCTTCATTCTCTTTTCCGCGTCGGCTTGTCTGTCGCAAAGCAAGAATGTCAGAGTAAAGTCAAATGAGTCAAGTGGACAAATATCCAGCCAGCGCCTGCCCAGCAATCCTCTTCTGTCCTACAAGCAATTCTCACACAAAGCGACCCGATTTCGGATCATGCCGGCTATCACTCGGGCCGAATTGAGAGAGGGCCTGTCAGGCGGGGTGAGGAGCAAACCAAACAGCACCCATCATGCGCTGATGGCTTACTGTTTTTGTGTCAAAATTGCTTAGGGGATCAAAGCTACACACACCAAAGCTAGCTAGCTTAGCTGCTGGATGTTGCTGGCGGTTCGATAGGTTGCTCCTTGTTTTGTTTCGTGCTTCGCAGTTTGCACATGTTTCAGGCGTTCGGCACAGAGGTCGTGTATAGATATTATGCATCAGCTCTCATCACTTCATTGACATCATCCCATCACTTTTGGATGTGGCTTGATGACTCAAGTTGATACCGCATGCATGGGGCAGGGGTTGAAATGGGGGGTAAGGGTGTTTTGGCATTTGCATTCCTTGCAATTGCTGTGAACACCAGGTTGCTTTGTATATCAAGTTGCTTCGGCCCGTGTTGACCGGCAGCTTGAGGATGCTGGGCAAACCCCTTAGTCAAAAGAACATGGCTTGCCTGTTGGAAACCTAGTAAAGCACAACCTCTAAGATACAACTGCATCAAATGAGATCATTGCTGTTCTTGGAAATTTGGAAATTGCTGTGTGGCGGTCCGGTTCAGTTTTTGGGGCCATCTCGGTTGTGGGCATTGTCGGCAAAGGGAGAGTCAAGGGTCCAATACAAATCGGGTGCAGCCAGACACAGGGGAAGGCCAGCAAAGAGTAAACTGGCAGAAGCCACTTTGAGTCATGGACACAAAAGAGCTTGTTTTGGTATTGTGTGCCGATATTGTTCCACTCAAACGTTCATGATCCCGCACTGACAATGAGTGTGATCTGCCCTCGAAAGAAACAGGATACTGTCAATGCATCGGGATTGACTTCAGTCTTTACAGAAACACGCAAGCTTGATACTCAAAGGTCCTTGTATTCTTCTGGCATGTACTCAAACTCCTGACACGCTCGATGCACCTTGTGCTTCCAACACATTGAAAGCTTGCTTCAGTTATTTATATATTTGGGTCGAACTGATGGAAAGATTTTGAGAACCCTTACTGTAGCTTCAAATACAACATACAGTAGATGGTTTGAAGCCAATCGGTTTGTCCTTTCAGTCTACCCATAGTATATGATTGAACCAGCATCTGTCAAATTCCTTCCTGCACCCCTTCTAAGCAGAGTGAATGTCCTTGTCTCGAAGCCCGAATTCAGCCACCAGAGTTTTTGGATCATGCAAGAGTTCAAGTCCAAAGGTTGGAGGTCCTGGTAGTAGCCTCCGCCCCAGAGCTGAGTCATCTTCGACCTTGCAAACAGCTAAAGCCAAATTGACACCTTTTTCCTGAAATGCACTGCTCGATGTAGCACAAAGACTTTGCAAGCGACACCTTGCAAAGGTATTCTTCCAAGTGTCCATGCAATGAAGAGCCAAAGCAAAGCCAAGCTAGTTCCAGTGATATGCATGAGTATCTGAAGCTAGGAGGTCCTGTGAAATACTTTGTCCTATCCTTTCCACTCACACTCGTCACATTTCTGCGCTGAGAAAACCGACCAGGTCTGCGGGACAGGCTCGGCTAACCGGTTCCTCTCCATGCGCTGCCTTCGCAAGAGATGGATCGCATCAGGCCTCGAAAGAAACAGAAACCATGAAAAATATGTTGTGTCTTATGTTTTTGGCAATAGGGGTGGGTAGGTAGAAGAGGGGCAGGAGGTAGGTTAGCTAGAGGTAGCTAGCTAGTAGAAGCTAGGTAGCTAGTACCTTACTAGTACGCTACTAGCATGGACGCAGGATAATTCATGCTTCTTCAAGGAACTCCTCCGCCGCCTTTAAGCTTCCTTGAAGAAGCGCTTGCACTATCCATTTGGTTCCTAGACTTTTAGGGATACTTATCAGTTCCCCCTACTACTCAATTAAGCAATTCCTCACAAGACTCAAAGCAGCTTCAAAAGGAGAGAGGCTTCAAGCGCAGAACCAGCAGGCTGCATATTTGATAGGTCAAGCTACAACCATAAGTGCCCTACCCTAGCTCCACTGGCAAGGATTCCTTCATCCAAGTGTAGTTGCCAGTACCTAAGTCAACTCCCAAATTGTTCCTTTTTGTGACTTGTCTCAACTGATTGACTGGTGCCGTTTACCTGCCCACTTTTCTGTCTATATATTGGTGCGGTTCTTTCATCCACCGGCAAATGAATATGTTGATCTAAACTCCAACACATGCACGGGTAAAAATCCAATGGCCCAACACACCCTCAACGAAAGGTTCAAATCTATATACAGTAAGGCAAGTTATCGCCTACAAACCTGGAAAATGTCTGGAATTCTGCTAACTGCTAACACACCCCCTATCTCAGGTACACACTGAAGGATTGCCTGATGATGTCCTGCTCGTGATTGGAGTACTCCGAAGCCTGAGAATGCACAAGAATCACAAGAATCATGTCAATCTGTCCCAATCCGTTGGTGCCCAACGCCATTGGAGTGCGTAGTTTGCGCATAATGAGGTTGTCGCCTGTAACTAAACATGTCCACAAACATAAAATCCCAAATGGAAACGTGGCCTGGGCCTTTCGGAATCACCTCCGAACATCCTGACAAGAAGGAAAACATCTGGTCAATGATGGTCGTCCACTGTAAGCATACATAATTTTTGAAAAACATTTGAAATGTTACTATGATTCATGATGTTTTCAAAACCACCTGCCTGGGCAAAAACTGAGTGCAAACACATCATGGACCTATGAGTGAGCCAGCCAGTTATGCTGCGACACAGACGCCTGCTAATCCTCAGCAAACACAGAGCTTCCATTTGGAGTGACAATGGCTTGCAGTTTCAAATGTTCCTTCATCAAGTATGTGTTGTTAATGATGCGTCAAGCATGAGATGGGCACGCCTACCCCAGCTACGTGAGGCGCTGTTGTGCAAAGGTTACATTTTGCGAGTCTGCTTCCTCAAAAAAATATCTCGAAAACGCGCCCCTTTTCTAGGCTGTATTTGAGCCACTGTTCAAGTCTGTACACTTCTCATTTAAGTGTGTGTCATTGTGTACGCAGGGGCCATGCTATCAATTGACACCCCGCCTTAGAGATCGACAGTCTTTAAATGATCTCTATCACAGTCCGTCATGTGAAACTTTGGCTGGCCACTCAACTCAGTGTTGCTGCTGCGTGTCTCGCGCATTGATTGCACTTCTCTTTGCCAGCTTGTCAAACATTCTGAATTCATTCTTCTGGGTCGACATTCTCTTTGTCGTCTTGTTCTTCATGTTCTTCATGCTCTTCGGTGCCATCAGCCTCATCATCTGCTTCTGCACCGGTCTCACGGAAGTATTCTTCCTCTTCATCAACATCCATTGGATCGTAGTGCCACTCGATCCATGCATCGGGATCTTCACTTTCTTCTATTGGGCCTCTGACTCCAATCCTCTGTTCTTCTGTCTCATCATTTGCCTCCTCTTCTGCTTCTTCTTCCTCATTGTCTGTGTCATTGGTTCCTCCTGGACTTGTTTCGTTGTCCGTGAAGAAATCCAGACTTGACCCGTTCTCCATCCATTTGTTGAATGTAATGGTCGCTGAGTGGTAGGCCAATGGATCTTGCCTGCCACACAACAAGCGCAAATACTGCAAATAGCGAAGTGTGTTTCTTGCAGCTTGTTGTTCGACGACCGAGTCATCAGTTGCAGCTTCTTCTTCCCTATCCTCGGCACCCTCATTAACGGGCTTGGGTGAGTCACAGCTGCTGATTTCGTGCACCGGTGTCTCATCCTCACCGACTGAGGAGGTGACCGTACCAGCCGACGGTGCTGCGAGCTCAGATGCCTGGGTGGGAGAGCCTTCTTCTTCTTCTTGGCTGCTGCCCGAGACTGGTTGGTCATGAAAGTTTTGTACGCTGTGCGTGCTGTCAGGCGATGGAAGAAGACTTGGCTGACCACCGGAACTGAGCAGGTCGAGGTCATCAGAGGCCAAGCTGCCAGCAGGCTCGCCAGTGGCCGAGGGCTGCGTATCCGCCGAAGCAGCGGCTGCTGGAGCGTCCTTCTTGTAGCATCCCTGGTGCCGGGGGCAGCAGCAGGGAGGAGTCCTCTCGGTCTAGTATCGGTTCACTCCGCCATGCATCATAAAAGTAGATTTTATGCAGGGCTTCAAATTGGTACAGCCTTGCCTTGTTGGCTACATCACATTTGCCAGGCGGGTAGCGGACAGTGCTACCGACCGTGAAACGTGAGCCACCTGCTTTGCTGACCGTATGAAGCAGACGCCAAGCTCCGGGATGACTGGTGTCTGAGACGATGAGCCAATCAGGGTTGGCAAGTCCATGTGCTGCATAGCCAAACAAAAGCCCGCTGCCATGGAGTGGGTGGGTATGATTCAGGAACTGGTTTTGTTCGCCTTGCGATAGGCAACCTCGCTTTGTCAGAACCAGCCTGAGGCGTCTCACCTTCCCTTCATAATGTTCAGCAAGGCACAGGGGGGCTGGCCCCTCCCACAGGGGGTGTGGCTCGGTGGCCTTGAGAAAGGCGGCAGTCTCAGCTTGAACATCTAACTCGCCAATTTCAAAGGACCCCGCAACTTGGGCAGCGCCAGGCACAGTGTCGCTAGTGTGCAGGGCGCAGGCACCATGCAGAAGTGCGGCAATCACTTGCGCGGCACCCTCAAGACCATGCATGTTGAGCGGGCACGCTAGCACCGTTAGGTCCGTGGCTCTGCTAAGGGCAACATTGGCTCTGGTGTAACATTCTTTGTCGAAGTCAGACCTGTTGGAGTGGCCACTGAGAAAGCTGGATTGGCCATGAAGGACAATACAATGCTTTGCCGTGGCTCCTGCAACCTTGACCGCTGTCTCGACGTTGGTATTGCGGCGGGACTGGTGACAGAAGCTACGAAGGCTGTTGGCACTTTCCTTTCTAGTGGTCAGAACTAGAATGTTGTCTGGTTCCTCGGCCTGGACTGGTAGCCATGATTCAATCTGGAGGTAAACCGCCCTCGTGGATTCTGGCGGGGGATCGGCCCGGGTTGCTTTGCGAGGGTCATGATGGATCCATTGCACAAACCTCAGCCCAGTGGGCTTCTGCTCGTTAAGCCGTATGGAGCCTGTTCCTATTTGCCACCGCCCATTTTTGCAGCTACAGAGCATTGGATATTGGATGCCTATGAGGGGTTCGTAGACCTCCTGCGCAACCCGCGCGCTAGTCGGAAGCATCACACTCCACTGATGGATTCTGCACTCCTCCTTTACGATCAATAGTTTTGAAGTTATCTCGCCAAGTTTGGAGTATGCTGAAACATGGCTGCGCAACAGTGCAGTCCTCACTCCAACTGTGCAAGAGCGTATCAAGTCCATGCCAGGTGTTGTCAGGTTTCGTGTCCATCGAACAGGAATTCCAGTTCAGACCACACTTGGAGTCACAGATCGAAGTTGTATTACTTTCTGCATCTCAGTCTCCAAGATTCAGGAACTTGCTGGTCCTCTTGAACAAGTCTATCAGCATCTCAGAACTGAAATTGGTCAGCTAGGAAAGCAGGAGCTACAGAGAATCTTACCATTCATCTGGTTTAGTGGCAAAAACCGGTTACCAAATTTCTTTGCGCATCAGAATTTGGCCTTCCTAGACTTTCGCAAATACGCGAAGCAACCTGATACCAAAATACAAAATAGGATCCAAGAAATCCTTATTTCCATGGACATTCCGTATCACTTTCAGAAAAGATCCATTTTGATCTTATATGCTTCAGGTATGCTCTTAGAAACTTTTCGACAAGCCCTCTTCTACGAAGATATTATCTTGCCTTTTGGCAAAGAAGAAGGGTGCTTTCAATGTAATTTCGACTCCAATGCACAGCCAGACTCCTGGCAAATCGAGCTGCAAATCATTGGAAGCACAAAGTATGAAGCCTATCAGATCGAAGATGACGGTACACTCCTTGACAGTAAGGGGGATGTGGTGCCAGAATTGATCAAATATCTTGCTCAAGAATACGATGCTTCCAACATTCGCACTGCTATAGTACATGTACAAGGCAAAGGACAGCAGAAAATAGTTGCCTTTCTAGCAAAATCTAGCATTCAGCAGCAGATACCGTGTGTAATTAAGGATCATCAAGGAACTGATAGGATGTTACAATACAAGCAGCCAGATGTACTTACAGATCCTCCAATGTCCAATGTGCACATCAAAGAAATGCGAGAAGACCACCACATTATCTCTCAAGCGAAAGGCAACAACCAACATGCAAGAATTAGTGCTTTCTTTCCCTTTCCTCATAACGAATTGTCGCGCCGTCGTTTCAACCGAGTCAAGTCTATCAACGTGTGTGTCAATCGCAGCGACATGTTGTGCACCGTTCTTGATGAAGCTGTCCCTGTTTGCTTGGTCAATCAAGAATTAGCAACTCAAGAGGCTGCTTGTCTGCTTGAATTCTTGATTCATAAGCAGCCGATACTCAACCACCATTCTGCCTTTCTGTCATGTTCCTTCAGTCATCCTGAACAGTCGAACCATGATGAAGTTGATCAAGAAAGCCTTTTGACGCTACCATACTTCTCAAGTATAGTTCATTGTCATTTGAGCTGCAATCAAACCTACCCAGGTTTGAGGATGGCAAAGTCTCAAGATGTATCGGCAACAGCTTATTACTCGCAGTTTATGAGCGCACTGACATTGTCCTCTTTCTTACTGGTCAGCTCGAGATTTTTGATCTCTTTGAAACTGCACCCAGAGGGCACATTATTGCAGTTTGGAAAGTTGCTGATGCAAGTACGACTGCCCATGGTCCAATCGACGAAATCCGCGGTCAGAATTTTACAGATCTTTCAGCTGCACGCCGTGATAGTACAACCAAAGAAGATACAATCTCCAATGCCAAAACTAGACGCCCTAGTCCCTTGCAAAGCGCTAAACAAAAGTCTACCATTGACAGCAAGGGAATTCAGAAAGTCGCCACTAGCCCACAACAAACAGCACCTCCTGTGACATTTAGGAAAGAGGGCACTGCAACGTGTGAGATCAGCCCACTCGACTCTCCCTTAGGTAATTATGCGAGTCCACAGGGCACAACAATTGCCAAGAGAGGGCTTTCTTCCTTAGAAGCCCTTGTAAAGAAAGTGCCAGTTCCCAAGTTGCCAGATGCTTTTGACACGCATAAGACACTAACAGGCAAACTCGAAAAGTATAGCTTACTCGCTGATCGGCCCACAGAGCAGTCTAAAGTACAATCTAAAGAACAAGGTCTAGAACAAATCCCAAGTAGTGACCTTAGAAAAAGCAACAGACTTTTGCTCTCACAAGGTGCTCATCATCCCTCTGCAAGCACACCTGAGCAGGATGCCTTGTTCCCTGCAGAAAACAATGTCACCGACTACCTGTTGCATCTACTCAAATTGATATTGAACCTGCTAGTGACTTTTGTCATACAAGTCAGAAAGAAACCTTAACCCCCCCTCATGGCAACAAGGGCGAAGACTGTCATGGGGACGGACTCATTGACCCTGGTACTAGAGAAGATAAAGCAAAAAAGATTGAGTCAGATTCAAGTCGTCACAAAAAAGATGAAAATGCCTACTTTCACAGTCAGACTTCGCAGCAGACGTTGCAG